AAAATTAAATTAAAAAAAGCATTTCCATGTTCTCCTTTTAATGATAAAAAGCAAGAGAGTGATTGGTAGGGGTTGTGTTACTGGGGAAAGATGGGCAACATGACCACACTCTTAGGGTTATTGGCTATATCAATGTACAGTGCATTTCTCTCCCTGTCACTAACAGAGGTTCTTCTAACACGCCTATATATGGATCCCAATCAGTAGTGCAAGAACTTAGGAATCTAGAGTTAAGCTGATCAAGTTTGAATTCTAATTCTCCATGCATCCGTGGGCATATCACTCAACATTTTATGTCTCATCTCATCTGTGAAATGGGAATGGTCATAATATTACTTTGTTTCAAGGATCAAATTAGCTGTAATATACTCATATGCTTATGCCATCGCATGGTCCATAGCAAGTACTAAATATATACACCACTTACCAAGTGCAGGCTTGGCTCTCAACACAACCAATGGCTTACCTCAAATACCTCTCCCTCATCTAGAGTTCAAGTACATAACCTTCTCCTTTGCCTTGGCAAGATAGGCAGGAGACAGGAAACAGAAATGATAAAATGGTGGAGGGAAGCTGGGTGTGGGTTTTGATTTGGGGTCTCCCTGCCCAGAATGTGGCAGTAGTACAATCTCTGAAGAGATTTTCTTCTGATAAGTTTCTCTTAAGGTTCCAGTGGCTGTTTGCACATTGCTTTTGATCCAGATGAGGTTTGCTCAAGTACCAGCAATGACACAGAACCTGCCAACACTCTCCTGACTGTCCTAGCCTCAGAGACATGTCTAAACAACTGAGGCTGGGGCTGAGATTCAATCCCTGGCTAATATTGCTCTCTGACCCTGGAAGAAAGGCACACATTAAGTGTTTGGTGACAGAACTAACTCTGATTCAATGGGTCCTTTATATTAAGTTTCACAGGTTCAGCATTTCACTTAATCACTTAATCACTTAACTTCCCGTTAGTCGTCGATTTGCTCGAGCGGGCGCCAGTAACGTCTCCATTTGTCCCTGTCGCGTGCTAGTGTAGCCCAATGGCATCTCTTCGCTCCGGGAACATGGAGGGCCTCAAACCGATCGTTCATGACCTTGACAAAGAAGTCTGACCATCTGGTAGGTGGGCGGCCACGCGGTCTCTTGACATCCCGTGGAATCCAATCAGTAACAGCTCTAGTCCAACGGTCGTCTTTAAATCTCATTACGTGACCAGCCCATCTGATTTTCGACACCTTGGCAAATGAGACAGCGTCCCTGATCCTTGATCGTCGACGGATGTCAGAACTCCGGATTCGTTCTCTCATTTGAGTGAAACGTGATATTCCAAGCATAGCTCTTTCTATTCTTCTTTGGGAGACCTGAATGGCGTTCTCATCTTGTTTGCGTAGGGCCCAGGTCTCTGAGGCATATGTTAATGCAGGAAGAACAGTGGAATCAAAGAGATGTGCCCGGAGCCGGAGGTTCTTCGTCCTCTTAGCTATTTCTTCGACGTTCTTGAAGGCGTTCCAAGCCGCTCTCTTCCTCCTGCGCAGCTCGGGTGCCAGGTCATTTGTCATGTTGACCTCTCGACCTAGGTACACATAGCTGTTGCATTCGGAGATGGTTGTTCCATTGAGAGCGAATGGGGCGTCAGGAACAAGGCTGTTTCTCATAAACATTGTCTTCGTAAGATTCAGCTGTAGTCCTACCTTTCCACACTCACGGTCAAAGTCGGCCAGCATTTGTGCCGCTTGGCTGATGTTTGGTGTTATTAAAACAATGTCATCAGCAAAGCGGAGGTGGTGTAGTTGCCGACCATCTATCTTCACTCCCATTCCTTCCCATTCCAGTCGTCGCATGATGTTCTCGAGGGTGGCACTGAAGAGTTTTGGTGAAATGGTATCACCCTGCCGCACCCCTCTCTTGACATCAACGATCACTTCTTTGTAGAATGGTGAGATCCTGGTAGTGAATCCGCAATACAGCTCACGGAGGATCCTGATGTATTGGGCTTGAATGCCCTGATTGGCTAGGGCTTCAATGACCGCTTCCGTCTCAACAGAATCAAAGGCCTTCTTTAAATCAATGAACGTTAAGCAGAGCGGCATCTTGAACTCCCGAGAAACCTCAATGAGCTTGGTTATCGTGTGGATATGGTCGATGGTGCTGAATCCTTTGCGGAACCCTGCTTGCTCGCATGGTTGTCCTTCATCTAGTGTTCTGCCAATCCTATTCAGGATGACTCGAGTGAACAACTTGTAGATGACAGACAATAGGCAGATCGGGCGATAGTTGCCAATGTCATGGATGTCTCCCTTCTTGAACAGTAGTACGGTCCTGCTGGTTTTCCATTGAGATGGAACCTTGCATTCAGACAGGTAGCGAGTGAAGAGCCGAGCCAGTGTATTGATGAGTACTGACGGCAGGTTCTTCAGGTGTTCAGGTCTGACCTTGTCTGGGCCGGGTGCTGTTTGCTTCTTTACTGACGAAATGGCGTGTCGGATTTCGGAAGGGAGAACAGTAGCTAGCATGCAATTAGAGTGACTACAAGTGGGAAGAAGAATATCTTGATTCCATTCTCTATGACATACCTTTTAAAACCATTCAACAGAAAAAAATAACTAGATGATTCAAAAATTAGAAATTCAAAGAAAATTGAAATATCTTATGTAAGTTGAAATCAAGAAATGGTAGGCAGGAAAAGTCAATAATTGAATTAAAGTATGGTTTTATTATTTTAGGGAAATGAATAAATTTTTCTATTTATGCAGGAGAAGAGACAAACAAGAAAGGACTTAAAATTGTCAAATGTGAGGAAAACAATAAATGACTAGATTTAATGTGTTGCTTTTGGGGATATAATAAAATAAGAGAAAGAGGCTAAGGTAGTTCAATGGACTGAGTGAATGGTTTACATGTAATATGCCTGTATTCAGTCCTTGGTACTGCCTGAACCTCTCATCACTGCTTGCAGGGACCTCTGAGCACAGAGGTAAAATAAGCCTGGAGTAAAGTCAGGTGTGGCACCAAAATTAAAGGAAAGAAGGAAGGAAGGAAGGAAGGAAGGAAGGAAGGAAGGAAGGAAGGAGGGAAAGGAGGGAGGAGGGAAGGAGGGAGTGAAGAAAAATTTCACCACGGGTGACAATTATAGAAAATATAATAATAATCATGTATAAGACAAGCATTCTGTACTAGGCCTCATGATTATTATAAAATTTTCATGGGTGGCAGACAATATAGTTTACATTTTCAAAGCTGAAACTATCAAGGTTATGAAAGGTTGGGTATTTGGTCCATGGTGGTAACATTAGTAGGTGGAAGTTTTGTATATATTGAACATAGATTTATATGAGATATAGGGTTGTATAAATTGTGATCTGAACAAGAGTGTCACAGTGATTCACAAAATTCTGATAAATGACAACAAAGTGATTAAACAAATCCTCAAACAATTTAAGTGACACTATTATATATTCTAGCAGTATTCTGTCAGCCTACTCTATCAACACACAGCTAGCTTTCAGCACAATGATTGAACATATAGTAGATGCTCAATCTGTTGATTATATGTAAGGCAAGAGGACAGAATTAAGATGCCAGCCTAAAGAAAACAGGAAAAGAAAGGAATAGTAAAGACTGCTTATTGGAGAAATTGCTCGAGCGGGCCCAGTAACGTCTCCATCATGAGACTTGTTGTTACTGTGTTTGGCATATAGAATACTTCACAAGTAGCTTGCCAGGCTCTGCCCTGCGGGCGAGATACTCTTGGTAGTTTGCCGGGCTCTCCGAGAGGGGCGGAGGAATCGAACTCGGGTCGGCCATGTTGGCTGCATGCAAGGCAAACACCCTACCACTGTGCTATCGCTCCAGCCCCAATTGGAGAAATTAAATATAATAATGTTTGATCCTATAACATGATGTTTTAGTTTTGGGGGTCATACCCAGAAGTGCTTAAGATATACTTCTGGCTCTGCACTGAAGAGTTATTTTTGGAGGGGATGAGGACTATATGAGATGCTGGAGATTGAACCCAGGTATGCCACATGCAAGGCAAGTGGTCTACTATCACTTGGTACTATCATTCTGGCCCTGAACCTAGATTGTTTAAAATGGTGCTATTATTAAAGAAGTGGAACATAAAAGGGAGTGAGACTGCCTTGAGAAGTTGAAAATTCAAGTTTTTCTTTTTCCTTTTTATTTAGATACCATGAACTACAATACTGTCATTGATAATTTCTTGCATACATTGTTCCAACACCATGACTACCACTGGAATGGCTGCTTCCCTCCACCAATGTCCGAAGGACGCTTCAAATCCACCCCCTTCCCCAGATAAGTTCAGCTTTTTAGAGAATTTCACAATTTTTATGCATTTTGTCATTTGGACAATTTCGTTTTGGCTATAATTTGAGATCATTGCTGACTTTCATTTTGATTTTATTATGGAACTATTTTATTGTGGGATTTTAAAAATATGCCTAAATTTGTCCTCCACCATGTTAAAAAATGGTTACATCAATTCTTTATAAGGTGCACACTTACTCTTTGTTTTTTACCTTTGATTTTGTGCCACACTTGACTGTGCTTTGGTCTGGTGTGGTGCTCAAGGGACCATGTGGTCATGTGGAACCAGGCATTGAACCTGGAACTCCCACATGTGAAACACATGTTTTAGGCCTTGGAGCTATTTCCTTAACACTATTTTGTCTTTTAAAAATGTGAGTGAAGAGAGCCTGAGTTTTATAATGCATTAATATAAGAGTGAAACTGAAGACATATGAAAAAGAGTGAGATAATGATGCTAATTTTCATATTTGATGACTTAAAAAGTAGACACACTTTTCCTGTTACTCTCCAGATGGTACTTAAAATAAGTGCTTTATCCCACCACTTTTTGAATGAAAGCACTACTGAAACAGAAAGTTGCCTAAGAAAATTTATTTTCTAAATATTGGATATGTATTTTCTCACTTTTAACTCCTGCTACTAAGTATTCCAGCACATCAGGTAGTAGGGAATGGGAAACATACCTTTGCATACCCTACAGCAGGAATCCGGAACAGAAACTGGGAATGCACAAGTTAATTTGGGGCAAGTCTTGAGACCACAATATACATTTCCTTCCTGCCAAGGAGAAACATAATTAAGGTCAGAGGCTCTGGGATAGGTGTAGATTTATATCAGAATGAAATGGATTTTGAGGAGTTCAAAATATGTCTTCCCCAATTTTCTCTCACAGTCAATTCTACATACCGTGTACAACTTATTATGCACTCTTTTTCTACTATTTATTCATGATAGATAATAAGTCACAGAGAATTGGCAATTCTAGTGGAGCATTATGATCTAAGAAGATAATGTGAGGGTTGCCCTTAGCCTCTAAATCACCAAGTTATATTCTTGCTTCTTTCTTCTCTATTCATTGCATCTGGTGTTTACCATTGCACATAAGCTTGATGTTGGGAATTTCACAGAATCGGGTTTTGTAGTGTATCTGCTTCCATAATGCTCACTAGAGTCTTCCGAGCAAAAGATACAGCTCAGGAGTAATTCACAACCTCCCTTTTTCAGAAGGAGTAATTCACAACTTCCCTTAGATGAAATATCTTTCATGAACTCCAGGGTATACCTGAAACCATGGAGATATTATGTTTCCCCCTATACAGACATATTTGCTATAAAGCTTATAAATTAGGTAAATGATAAACTATAGTAATAAAACAAATATAACAATACACTGCATGAAAGTTATATTTTGTCATTTCCCACTCCTCCTTTCCACGTTCTCCCACTCTATATATACGTAAAAAACTACACAGAATATTTTTGGATCATGTTTGACTGTGGGTAATTGAAACCATGGGAAGTGAATAGATAAATAAGGCAAGGGAAACTACTGTATAAAACTATTCAATATTATTTAAATTGACAGCTCATTCTAGCACAAAGCAAGAGGGTGGATCAAATTTAATTGCTGATTTTGTCTGTCTTTGCATAGTATATATTTTCTAAAATTCTATGTTCTCAACATCTCTTTTCTTAAATCTTGCTCCTCTTATTTCTTAGAAATGTATTGTTCTCTGACAGAAAAGATTCTTAAAAAGTCATCAGGAAAACTAAGTTGCAATGCAATTTTCCAAATATTTGAGATACTGTATTTTTACTAAATATACCCAAAGGAGGAGACTCTAAAACTTACCATGGAAATTCAATATTTACGGCTCTCTAAAGGAAAGAAAAAGCTTGTTTCTACATCTAACTTCATTCCCTCAGACTCAATTTAAATACCCATTTTACTCCATTTTCTTGTCCTTTCTATTATGTGCTCTGGACCACATAATTAGATAAAGGTATAATCAGTATACTTTATTCCTGAAGTATAAATAGTCCTTTTGACAAGTGATGTCACCGAAGTAATCAGGAGCAAACATTTGTTGAAATTTTTCTCATTGCAGGGAACAAAGAATAAACTGGTAAGTAAAATATTTCAGACCAAGATACAACCCATTTTTCAGTGAAGTGGAATAAGTTGTTCTAGATGCTGCTAGAGGCTTCACCACCCATTGATTCCCTGGGCTTCACATGATTGGGTTCTTCAGATGAAGGTTTTGGTGGTGTAATAAGGTGGTGTGATAAGGAGTGCAGGTCAATAGTACCAACTAGCTCATCTTGAGTCATTTAACAGTATTCAAGCTTTAAGTCCAGGATACAACTACGTTTGATCTTTTTAACAGAATTGTTCAGAGTTGGTGATTATAAGAGATTCTAGATTAGCAGGGAAGCTTATGATTTATGCAATTTATTTTCCATTAAAAGTCTCTACTAGTGTACACCCAAATTAAAGTAACAACTACAAAGGAAGTCATTTTATTTGGGTACAGGCTAGCAGAAATATTAAGATGAAGAGTCTTACCGAACAGCTGCACTGTGTGCATTGATTGGCTTGCCGGTTTTGAAAGAGTCCTTCAGCCATGAACAGTTCACCATGTTGATAAGTGGTTCCATTATATTCACATGACTTGCTGGTCACCTTATTGTTCACTGGGGGTAAGGAGTCTTCTGGGGCAGGGTGAAGAAAAAGCACACAAATATTGACAGTATTGCAAATAATTTCATAGATATCAAGAGCATATGGGGTTATACTACATTAATGAGGTTAAATTCAGTGGATGATGACCTTAACTGTAAGGAAACAATCAGACAATAGCAGTTGGGATAGTCACCAAGCAATTTTTGCTGTTGTTGAAGATTTATTGACCAGTCATTATGTACTAAAATTTGTGATAGGCACTATTACAAAGCCTCTGCCTTGATGGAGCTAACAGTCATTGAAAAAATATTAACTCTATTAGAGCAGGAGAGACAGCACAGCAGTAACTCACATGATGTCAATCTGGGCCCAATCTGTGGCACCGCACAGGGTCTCCATAGACACCATAGTGATCCCTGAGCACTGAGCCAGTAATAAACCCTGATTACCTCTGGTTGTGACCTCCCAAACCAAAAATTACCTTGCCTCAAAGGATTGAGTATTTTTATAAGAATGATAATCTAATACAACTAATCATTTTAAAACTGTATCACCTATATATGTGTATATACATATATATATATTTATATTACAGTCATGGTCCTCCTGTTGTTCATTGATTTGCTCGAGCGGGCCCAGTAATGTCTCCATCATGAGACTTGTTGTTACTGTGTTTGGCATATCGAGTACGTCACGGGTATCTTGCCAGGCTCTGCCGTGCGGGAGAGATACTCTGGGTAGCTTACCAGGCTCTCCGAGAGGGGCGGAGGAATTGAACTCAAGTAGGCCATGTTGGCTGCGTACAAGGCAAATGCCCTACCGCTGTGCTATCGCTCCAGCCCATATATTTATATAAAGAGAGAAAAGGAGAGAGTTGCAAAGTTGTTCATGACTTTCAGTCATACAATATTCCAACACCCAATCTTCTCCAGTGCACATTTCTCACACCCAATGTCCCAAGTTGCCTTTCTGCCTGGGTGCCCCACCCCCCCCACCGGCACCTCTCTCTCACTTTCTATCTTTATCTTTCTCTTACAAACATTTTAATTTTAGGCATTGTGTTTTGAAATACTGTTATTAAAAGTGTCATGCAAATAATTTTACCTCTCTTTAGCACTCAGTCCTTGTCCAGAGAGATCTAACTTTGGGTATTAGTTACGTACTTGTAGTTTTACATTCCAATTGACAATATCCTTTACTCTTTTATATCACTTGGTGTATTTGAATACTTGTTCTAGTTTCTAAAGTCTTTAGTTATTTTATCCCTTTGCCAAAATAACCTTATCCCCATTATGCCTGTCTTTTTCCCCTTAGGTTTTGGGTCACACTCAACTGTGCTCAGGGATTACTCCTAGTTATGTGCTCAGGAATCAGTCTAAGAGGTACTTATGGGACTGTATAAAGTCAGAAATTGTACATGGGTTCATAGCATATGGGTAAATTGCTTTAAACCCTGTATAATCTCTCTGACCCCCAGGCAAAATTTTGCAAATATTGCTTCTATATTGTTATTGCAAGCACTCATAATAACCTGTGAATCAAGAATGGTGGATTATTATATTTGTTTTACATTTGCTGGGAATAGTCTCTAAGGTTGAGTGACATTTATATCACAAACATAGTGAGTGGTGAAAGGGATGCGAGCTGAAGTCTCATCTCCTGGTGAAAATTTTCATATTTCAACCTATAGTAGTTGTGCATGTGTGGCTTTTTAAAAAAAATTTTATTAGTAAAACACCATGAGGAGTTGTAGACTTACAAATTTTTGTGCTTGGGTTTCAGTTATACAATGATCGAGTACCCATCTCTCCACTAGTGCCCATTCTCCACCACCACTGATCCCAGTATCCCTCCCACCCCCCAACACCCCCCCATCCCAGCCCAACTCTGTGGCAGGGCATTCTCTTTTGTTCTCTCTCTCCTTTTGGGTGTTGTGGTTTGCAAAAGAGGCAATGGTTGGCAATCATGTTTGGTCTATAGTCTACTCTCAGCATGCATCTCCCATCCTAGGAGGATCCTCCCAACACCCTTTATTTGGTGCTCCCTTCTCTATCTGTGCTGGCTTTTCCCCTAGCATGTGCAGCTGGCCTCCAAGCCAGGGAGTGAACCTCCTTGTACTTAAAACCTGGTGCTCTGCTATTCTTGGGTGTTAGTCTCTTATTTTGTTACTTTATATTCCCCAGATGAGAGCAATCTTTCTATGTCTGTCCCTTTCTTTCTGACTCATTTTGCTTAGCATGATACTTTCCATGTAGTACCACTTGTATGTAAATTTCATGACTTCATCTTTTCTAACAGGTGCATATAGTACTCCATTGTGTAGATGTACCAAAGTTTCTTTAACCAGTCATCTGTTCTCGGGCTCTCAGTTTTTTCCAGATTCTAGCTATCGCATACACTGCTGCAATGAACAAACAAGTGCAGATGTCACTTCCACTATAGTTTTTTGCCTCCCTGGGATATATTCCCAGGAGTGGTATTGCTGGGTCAAATGGGAGCTCGATATCTAATTTTTTGAGAATTGTCCATACTGTTTCCCAAAATGGCTGAACCAGTCGGAATTCCCGCCAGCAATGAAGGAAGGTCCCTATCTCGCCACATCTGCTCCAACACTGGTTGCTTTTGTTCTTTTGGATGTGGGCCAATCTCTGTGGTGTGAAATGATATCTCATTGTTGTTTTGATCTGCATCCTCCTGATGATTAATGATGTAGAGCATTTACTCATTTGCATGTTAGTCATTCAGATTTCTTCTTTGATAAATTTTCTGTTCATTTCATTGCCCCATTTTTAATGGGATTGGATGTTTTCTTCTTGTGGAGTTCAACCAGTACTTTGTATATCCTTGATATCAACCCCTTGTCAGATATGTATTGGGCGAATATCCTTTTCTCATTCTGTAGACTGTCTTTGTATTTTGGTCACTGTTTTTTTATTTTTTATTAGTGAGACACCATGAGGTACAGTTGTAGACTTACTTGTGCTTGGGTTTCAATTATACAATGATCAAATACCCATCCCTCCACCAGTGCCCATTTCCCACCACCACGAATCCCAGTATCCCTCCTACTCCCCATCCCCCCACCCCATCCTGCCTCTGTGGCAGGGAATTCCCTGTTTCTTTTGAGGTGCGGAAGCTTCTTAGTTTAAGATAGTCCCATTTGTCTATCTCTGTTTTCACTTGCTTGGCCAGTGGCGTGACATCTTTGAAGATACCATTAGCTTCAATGTCATGGAGGGTTTTGCCAACTTTGTCTTCAATGTACCTTATGGATTCTGGTCTGATGTTGAGGTCTTTAATCCATTTTGATCTTACTTTTGTACATGGTATTAGGCAGAGATGTGAGCCCATTTGTTGCATGTAGCTGTTCAGTTTTGCCAGCACAATTTGTTAAAGAGGCTTTCCTTGCTCCACTTCACGTTTCTTGCTTCCTTATCAAAGATTAGATGTTCATATGTTTTGGGGAGATGTCAGTATATTCAACTCTGTTCCATTGGTTTGCAGCTCTGCCTTTGTTCCAGCACCATGCTGTTTTAATTATTCCTGCTTTTTAGTAGAGTTTGAAGTTAGAGAGGTTGATTATTCCTATTTTCTTTTTCCCAAGAATCGCTTTAGCTATTTGTGGGTGCTTATTGTTCCATATGAATTTCAGGAATGTTTTCTCCATTTCTTTGAAGAATGTCATGGGTGTCATTATAGGGATGGCATTGAATTTGTACATTGCTTTGGGGAATATTGCCATTTTGACGATGTTAATTTTCCCAATCGATGAGCAGGGGATATCTTTCCATTTCCTCTTGTCCTGTTTTATTTCCTGAAGTAGCGTTTTGTAGTTTTCTATGTACAGGTCTTTTACTTCCTTAGTTAAGCTGAATTCTAGGTTCTTGATTTTCTGAGGCACAATTGTGAATGGGATTGTTTTTCTCTTGTCTCTTTCTTCTCTCTAACTATTTTCATATAGGAAAGCCATGGACTTTTGGGTATTGATTTTATAGCCTGCAACTTTACTATACAAGTCTATTGTTTCTAGGAGTTTCTTGGTAGAGGTTTTAGGGTTCTCTAAATATAGTACTGGAAGTACTTGCAAGAGCGATTAGGCAAGAAAAAGATATTAAGGGCATCCAGGTAGTAAAGGAAGAAATCAAGCTCTCACTATTCGCAGGTGATATGATATTATACTTAGAGAACCATGTATGGCTTTTTAAGATTAGCACTCTTGTCTTTTTGTGTCTCTTTTCTTCTTGGAGTTTAGCACATATTTGAAATGTGGTAAAATAACAATATACAAACAAGCAAAAAAAACAATTCATGAGTTATTGACTCTAAGCCTCAAGAAGTTCTCACTGGATTTTCATCAAGGGCACTCTATGTTTTCACATACATTTACAGACAGAAAATCACACACAACTACAACACACAAGTCATTAGATTAAACTAATCATTGATATACATATTCATGGTAGATAAAAGCAAGGTTTTTTGTATATGTATGATTTTCTCTTCAAGCCCATATTCTGTCTTGAAATCATATTCCTCTTTGGACATCTTTCTGAGTTCCACTGAATAAAAACTGCCTTGCTCTACACACACATAAAACAGAAAGCTTCTTCTGTGGGATAGTGGAAGAAGATAAATCAGGAGAATTGTGTTCTGTGAGCTTGATTTGAGGGAGACTTAGAGAATTAGATCATCATTTACCATCAGTCAAAACATTTTATGATAGAAAAAATCTACTTAAACACAAGTGCTCTTTAAAACAAAATAAAATAAAGTAAAATAAAATTATCCTTCAGGCCAAAATAGTAGTACAACATGTAAGGTGCTCGCCTTGCCTGTGGTCAACCTCTGTTTGATCCTCTGTTTGATTTCCTCAAAAGAAATTGAACTAATTTTTTACACTGCTTTTGTAATTAGGCCTCCCACCAAGGGAAGATAAATGGCAAGGCAGCTTTAGTAAACATAGTTTGAGTGTAAGCATGAACTTAAGTCTTTCTTGCAAAAGTATTCAAAGTAACCTGGCATTCAACTG